TTATAATCAATGGCTTTAGACAGTTACAAATGCTTTCTGTAGCACTTCTCTCTTGAAAGCAAGTCTTGGCACAAGTGTCCAATCCTACTGCCAATCTAGGAACATTGATATGCCAGAACACAGTAAAGACACTACTACTGATTTTAAAAAGTAATGGACAATCTTCTATTAGATTCAAATGTTCCAAATATTTTATTTCTACATGTAAAGATGATCAGAATTATTTTTAATTTGAAACATATATATTGAAGGTCTCTTGTGGGCTGCATCCTCATTTTAAGCCTGTGAATTTGAGCAGAAGTGTAAATGTGACATGGATAGTCAGATGATCTTAGGTGCAAATGATGACTCATGATCTGTGTGACTCCAGACAAGCATCTTCGAGTCCCAGTTTCTTCCTTCTTTTACTGCATTTAGAGACAGAGGAGCATGCCATACAGAAAGGACTAAGAAAGAATGCTGTGCACACGCAAGTAGTTTAGTCAACTGCCACCAGAGTGTGGAAACAAAAACATGGGAAGATTTCAAACACCATATTATAAACAGATAATAAAATCTTGTGTGTAAGTCTATGATAAACTTGATATCATTCCTGAAAATACTACTTTGTGATCACCTAAGGCAATGTGTACTGAACTTGAGACTGAACTCCAGGCCATTCATGCTGCTGTTCACTTAACAGTCCCCAAATCATCTATCTCCTCTGTATTCTTACATATAATAATATTCTGATGTGCTACTTAAAATCACTGGTTAACATTTTAAAATATAGACATAAAAATAAATTACAGGAATTAATGTAAGCCTTGTCTCTGACCTCCTAGAAACATCTTATATCTGGCCAGTAGTAGAGTATACCACCTCAGCAATTACTATTTCTTCATATTTTATTTATTATTCTTATTTTATATGTATTAGTGTAGTGCCTGCACATATATAAGTGCACCAGTGTCATGCCATGGTCAAGGTCAGAAGAGGGAGCTGGATGCACTGGAATTAGTGTTACGGATGGTTGTAGGCCACCACATGGGTGCTGGGAACCAAACCAGGATCCTCTGCAAGAGCATCCAGTGCTCTTAACCACTGAGCCATTTCTCCAGCCCTAGCAATTGCTATTTAAATTTATGCAGATTGTATCCCAAATAAAAATTTATACTGATATTAAATTTTACTAATAATTTACAATGCAAGTAAGTTACCAATTAACAGTTAAGTAGAGGACTTAATAGAAACTTTAATTCCCCAAAGCTTCTAAACTTCATTAAGAAATACAGGTAAAAATTTCTTCCAACTTATAAATGTTCATTAGTGTCATGTTTTCAACACAATACATCTTTTTTATTTCTCCCCTACTATGCACGATTGAAACTTGGGGCCTCATGCTTGCTGGTCAATGACTCTACCACTGAGCTGCATCTCCCACCAGTATCATGAAACATCATTAAGATGTTTTCTAAATGAGGATAAGAAAGGTGGCCGATGTTTCCTATTGCCACAAAGGAGTATTATTAGGTTGTTTACTAGAAAGACTGAGCAAAACACCAGCCTTTTTTTTTTCCCTTTTAGGAGTTAAATTCTAACAAGATGTAAATATTACACATCAGAGGAAATTACATAATGGAAATAGCATAAACATATCAAAAAGAATATCATTAACTTGTTCAATAGTTTCTAACCTATTACTGAGGAAATAGTTTTTATGCTTATGTAACAAGAAAGTTTGCTACAAAGAACATATAATATTAATTCTATATTACAGGTTGTAAAAGAATTATCTTGGTACACCTTACTAATATTTGATTTTGACAATTAAAGAACAACTTAAACTATTTTGAAAGATGATTATTCAATACTGGAATTTTATGAACCATGTGAATTATATAATCCATTATTTCCAAGTCATTGTTTTTTTTATTTTATTTATTATTTTTATTTTATGTGTATGAGTGTTATGCCTACATGTAGGTAAGTGCACCTGTGTTGTGCAATGTCCATGGAGGACAGAAGAGTCCATCAGATCCCCTGGAACTGTAGTTACAGACAGTTGTTAGCTGCCATATGGGTACTGGGATTTAAACCCAGGTCCTCTGCAAGAACAGTCAGTGTTTTTAACCGCTGAGCCATCTCTCCAGCCCCGACTGTTGTTATTTTTTAGTAGAATTTAAACTTCATTTATGCTGACAGTTAAATGTCATTTAAAAAATATATTGCAGCTGGGCTTAGTGGCGTATGCCTGTAGTCCCAGCACTTGGGAGGCAGAGGCAGGTGGATCTCTGTGAGTTCAAGGCCAGCCTGGTCTACATAGTGAGTTCATAGATATGGATAGATAGATGATACATATATAGATGATAGATAGATGATAGATATAGATATAGATAGATAGATGATAGATAGCAACTATTTATAACATGTATAAAGTACTTTAAATAAGCAGAAGAACAAATAATCATGTTAATAATTACTTCTCCAACAAGGACATTTCAGTAAGGTTTTAGCAGCTCTCCAGGAATTTTCTAGTTTATGTAGGCAACCATAAGTCCTTAAAAACTGGAGATTTTAATTACATGTAAAGGGGGATTATATAGTTAAAAAAATTATCCTCTCAGTATATAATCAGATGAGATAAAGCAGACTGCCTTTAAACCCCTGCCCAACAGGTACCAACAAGAAGGAAGTAACTTATTAAACAGTTCCTTTGTGGCTGAGGATATGGTAGTTGCAGAATACTAGCCTAGTACATACTAGACCACAGGTTTGATGTTAAGCATTAAGGGGTTAAAAAATTAACCAGTGGCTGTGGGCTGTTGCTGAGAAAGAGCAAAAGCAAGCTGAATAAAGAAGGGGTGATTGGGCCACTTTCTTCTTTCTTGCAAATGTAGAGAGAATGGATAACAGCAGAATATTGGTATCATACAGATGAATATAAATGGAGGGGGGAGAGAGAATGTGTATGTAAATATATGAAACTAATAATGTATTTTCCATGAAATAAAACACTAGTTTAGAAAAATAAAGTAATATCATTCAGATGAAGTGGTCATGAGCTGTGGTAAGAGGACCTAAATATTTCCACTCAATATTTCATTAAAAGATGTACATTCAAATTACTTCAAGAAAGATGATGATGTATGTGGGGAAGCATGAGTCACAGCAGAACAGACAGAAGAAGGACCATCCAGAGCACAAAGGGTGTGTTGTATGGTAAAGAATTCTAGGTAGTAAAGAAAAATTACACCCTGAGCCAGCTCACACAAAATACACCTGTTGGCCCAATTCATGTCATAGGACACTAGATTTGGATTCTATTGATAAAAGTCTAGGAGGCTGAAGACAAGGTCTATTGCTGGCACAAAATTCTACTCAGCTCCTTTGTGGTTTCTTTTAAATTTATTTTATTATTTATTTTGTGTATGTGAGGGTTGGCCTACATGTATATAATTTTACTTGAGTATTGTGACATGGGTGCCAGACTACGACATTGGATCCTCTGAACCTGGAGTCAAGGATTGTTATTAGTTGCCATGTGGGTTCTGGGAACTGAACCTGGTTGATGTGTAAGAGCAGCCACCTCCCTTAACCACTGAGCAACCTCTCCTCTCTCTCTCTCTCTCTCTCTCTCTCTCTCTCTCTCTCTCTCCAGTTTCTCTCACTTTCTCTTCCTGTGTGTGTATACTTACTTCTTTTTCTGTTTATTTTTTATCTTTAATAACTTTTTATACCTACATTTGACTAAGTCACTAAAAAGAATTAGAAGCCAAGAATATAAACACGTATAAACGTAAAATTTACAAATATCTCTGATATATATTACGCGTTTTTCATTAAACCCAAGAAATAGGTATCTCATTTTGCCTAGGAATGGTCACCTCTGGTCCTCCCCAATCCACAGCATCTCTGAAGTCCTTAGAATTTCATCCAAGAAAACACAGGGCCCCATGGGTCACTCAGAGAACCCTTTCCAGGATGAATATTGACAAGACAGCAAACACACACACACACACGCACACACACACACACACACACACACACACACACACACACACACACACATGGGGGCGGGGGATTCTTTTTAAAACCAAGAACCATGAACCATGATGTTACATGCAGAAAGGTAGAGAAGCCATGCTTCCTCACAGAGTACGACAAAAATAGAGAAAACCCAGAGCAACAAAACTGCTGCAAATTCCCAAATCCCATCAAGCACTTGGACCTAACTATGCCTGCATCTGATCAACTCCAAGAGCTCCCAGCTACAGGAGTAAAGAAAACAGATTCTCTTTTGTTTTTAAGCAAGTTAAACTAGATTTCTATTACATCTATAAATATTCTCATAAATGTAAGGCAAGGAAATGATAAGTATTTACTTTTAACTTGCCAATTCAAACCTCACAATGTCTTCTAGAACTTGCCATCAAAGAACAGAACTGATTTTAACCTTTGAGATTTTCCTGAGTAGAGGTGTATTTTAAATTGTTCGATTATCTAAACTTTGATACTCATTGTTATTTTTGAAGAAGACAAACTAGAGGAAAAAGAAGAAACTTCACTTCACCAACACACTCTTTTTTGCTAATTCCTAGTTGACCACACATCTCATATATACTTTGACACAACCAATTGTTTTATGAGGACCAAATTAATCATTTAATAGTTTGTCAATTACATATGTATAACATATAAAGGCTTAATTTTGAAACTTTATATCTATCAATATAGGAACAAGGACACATTTTTAATTAAATTCTCTTATACCAAATTTTTTATGAGGTATATTACTTCAAAAAATTCAGTCATAGTATATCAATACATGTTAGATGATACCGCCTCAAACAAAGAAATCACAAACATCATCCACCTACTTATTTCAGACGCATAATTAAGGAAGAAACTATTTCAGAAACACATCTATCATCATCTCTCTTTCCAGCAGATAAATCAAGAGCCCCTCTCACAGCAGGTTTCAGAAGTGACCCAAACCAGATAAAGTAAGGCATACTCACAAATTATACAGCATGTCAGCCATGTTGCTGCGGTAGTACAAAGCATTTCTATAGGCGCTTTCAGCTTCAGAAATTTTGCTCTGACTCTTCAGAACATTTCCAAGGTTACCCCATGCTGACAAGAAGAAAGAGAAGTATTCAGGCTAAGCGTCAGTCCAATTATACATGATATAATATTAATCCATCAGGGAGTACCGCAGGAGAAAAAAAATCCTTCATAAAACATTTTTAAGAAGCAAAATTTATTTCCCTTATACTCTAATATTTCATCAAGCTAGGAGATGAAATACAAAGTCTAAAATAATTAAGGCAATCATTATGGCTCAAAGTTGATCTACAAATACAGTTCATCACAAGGCCAAGAACAATGTTATCTTAAGGTCACCTACAAAGACTACACACTCTTTCAAGTGTCTGCAGGGGTCCTCATGGCCTGAAATTGTGGTAACAAATCATCTGAAAATAAACAAAAATTTCATTCAAGTATGAAAGAACTGATAAATGCTCTAGAATATTTGGAGATGGAATGACCAAAGCTATAAAGAAGCTCAATATGCATCAGAACATACTGATGTAACAGTATGCTTCTTAACACAGTGAAGCATATAAGATCTGTTCAGAAGTAATGTTCTTTTATGCCCTTCCTCTTAACACCTTTACTTCAGGGAAAATTTGCATTCACAAATAATCATGTTATAAATTATGCATTCATTTTTCCTCAAATAATCATGATTGTCCATTATTAAAAAGTCACAGCTCTCAAACAGATCTCGACCTCCAAAGTGTCTGTTTCTATTGCCTGCTTCATTCTCCGAAGAAGGTGAGATATTAATTCCTGAAAGTGGAGTCTTCCACAAGCAGGAAGATAGAGATAAGAAGGTTTTACAGGTTGAGATGTATCCTTTGGTTGATTACTGACCACTCTGGAAGAATAAAAGTAAAGATCTTCATTTTATGCTTTAAAACATGAGGAGACTTTCAATTCAGATTTGCCTGCATTTCTGTTATTTAACACTCATATACCTCAGTTTACTCATCTGTAAAAAACAAGGTGTACTTAGTGTCTCATGAGTTTTGTGATGAGGACTAATGAGTTTATGTGTGTATATATGCTTATAAGCATAGGATGTATATGATAGTGCCTCATACTTGCTAAAAATAAATGCTGGTTTTGTCATTAATATGGCAGATGTGGCAGATGTTCTTTGCAATTTACTATAATGAAATAATTGAAATATGAAATATTGAAATAATATTACTAAATATAATACACATTGTGTTGCATTTGGAAATTATGCTTCTGAGAGAAAACTTCTGAATTCATAATGATATCACAACAAATAGTGCTATATGCCTTGTCATACACTTGACATATGTAAGCTCACAAATGCTCCCAGCACATACCTACACATGAAGCTGACACCCATACTGCAGATGAGAAAATTAATTCTGACACACTGAGGAATATGTCAAGTTAACACTGAAGTAGAATTTCCAATCCAGGGCTCAATATCCTAAATCTTTCCTACCGTCTAACGAACATTCTCACAGTGGACTTCACTTTTGACTGCAGAGCATCATCCTCATATTATGAATCAGACCACAGCATTGTGAGTCCATAGAAAATTCTCAATTAAACATTAAAACATGAAAAATACTACCAAACTAAACTAATAGACAATAGGAAATAGAAACAATTAAAAGAATAGTTAATGATGTTATATTCAAATATAATAGGCATGGTAGATTTTTAATCTAGTATCCCTCCCCTCAAATTAATAAAGCATGCTCTATGGAAACTTCTAATACTCAGGATCACTTCCAACCCACTTCATCCCTCCCAAAGTTCTGCTTTGAAGGTAGGATTAGTGAATGCAAACAGATTTACACTGAAATTACTCCTGAGAATGCATGCAAATATTAATTTATACACTGAGAAAGCATAATTATAATGCTCTCCTCGTTAAGCCATATCCCAAACACAGATGCTGAAAAAATTACAGCAAGGGCATACTGTGAATATTTTAAGGCACATTTCCATAGAAATAAATGGACTTTGTGTTAGGTACTTATGTCTTAATTAAGTAGTAGCTAACAAGTGCTCCTCTCGCGAATAACAGGCATAGCTAGCTATATCTAGAATATGTTCACACATTTGCTGTGTGTTCACTTATCCAGTCACAAATGTAATCATTTATTAAATGGATATTTGTTAATCCTCTCTTGTGCCAAGAGTTTTATTAGAGCTATGCACACAGCACTGAAAGCAAATCTTCAATGTAATAGTTAATCTAGATTGTCAGATTGTTTAGATTGAGAGATGCTTAGGGTATTACTAAAGCACACTTCTGAGCATGTCTGTCAGGATGCTTCTAGAGATGATAAGGAGGGCTCTGATGTAATCAGAGGACCCAAATTGGGAACAGACTGTAGCGAGGTGGTGGACGTGTGGGAGGAAGGGCGTATTTCGAGAAACTGAGTTGCTAAGAAAGAGTCCTTGAAGTACTTAGGGATTATGTTCCCTTCCGCTCTCTTTTTGCTTTCTGTCCAAGGTAAGATGCACTCCTTTGTTCAGCCATGTGCTCCAATGGTGATATTCTGCCTGGCCTCAGGCTTGCAGTGATGGAATCAGTCACCCAGAAACTAAAACCTCTGAAACTGTAGGTCGAAGCTTTTAACCTTTGGAATTGTTTCAGGTAATTGTCACAACAATGAAAACTAAAGAAGGTCAAGTTCTCATTTACCTAGGAATGATGCTAGAGGGCAGGAGCAGAGCTGCAAGGAAGGCAGGGCTTAACCAATACAACAATAGTGATCAATTCTATTCAGGGGCAGCAAGAAAGCTCTGCAGGTGAAGGTGCTTGCCCACAAGTTTGATCCCTGGGTCCTACATGATACAGGAGAGAAATGACTCCTGCAAATTGTCCCCTGACCTCTACACTTCATCAGTCCACATGCATGCCCACGTATAAATCATGTGTACACACAGATTTAAAAAAAAGTAATACATGCTATTTCAGATAGTCCTAAGTACTACAAATAAAATACTAAAATAATAGGAATAATACTAAACAACATTAAAATAATAAAATATTAAATTAGGTGATGCCAGTCTAATGTAGAAATAGATAAGTTCTAAGAACCAAAAAATAAAGAACCAGCTTTTGAAAGACTGACCCGAGTAAAGAAAATAGAACAAAACACGAACTTCCAGCTACAGAAAGGCCAGTCAGGTGAAAGGTTGCAAAGTAAAAGAAGACGAGATGAAGTCACAGAGATAAGGAGCATTTCAAACACAGGATATTTAAGCCACAGCATTTAATCTGAGGGATGTTTTCATCAAAATGTGTGGGAAAGGGTTTTGGGGACAGAATTTTGTGACAAAGTTTGTATTTTGAAAAGACCACTGTTGATTTTTCTGCAGAGGTTCTCACTGAAGCAGAACAAGAGCAAGAGGGAAGTGGCTCATTGTGCTGGCTTAGCGTGCAACTTTGATCCCTGCCTAGCAGTGCACACCTGTAATCCAGTATGGGACACGGAGAGTCTCCTTCTGCAAGACCAGAAGTTCAAGGCTGCCACCAGCTACAAAGTAAGTTCAAGGTCAGCCTAGGCTACATGAGACTCTATCTAAAATAATAAAATTTGAGAGAGAGAGAGAGAGAGAGAGAGAGAGAGAGAGAGAGTAAGAAGGTAACTTCAAGAACCCAATGGCAAGATAAGGATGGTTCCCAACATGATGGAGCAGAAGACAGGGTTATTTCAAAATGTGTAAGCAACTTAGAAGTTAAAAATAGTCAGCAAGTTAACTGTGGCAAAGCTGCAACATGAACATATTTCCTGATTTTTGTCCAAATGGAAATCGCACACTTAATATGATGAAGTCATTGACCACTTTACCTGAAAAAAGAAAAATTAAACCAATTCTAATCACTTATGGATGAGAAAAGAAAGAAGGAAGGAAAAGAAGACGGAAAGAAAGGGTGTGATCAAGCTGGTGAATTGGCTCAGCAATTAAGAGCATTGGCTGCTCTTGTAGAGGATCCAGGCTCAATTCCCAGCACCCGCATGGCCACAAACACCTGTCCTATCTCCAGTTCCAGGGAATCCAATGCCCTCTTCTGACCTCTGTAGGCATTGCACAACACAGGTGCGCCTACCTACATGCTGGCAATACACATAAAATAAAAAAAAAAAAACAAAATATGTTTTAAAAAAGGAGTATGACCTTCAATACTCAGAACTCAGCTGACATTCAGGATCAGGCCAGTCTGTCCTGCTAGACACAGCTCACAGAATACCAGCTTCTGACAGAAGTCTCTGAGAAAATGATGAAACAAAACAAAGCAAGACCACTGGAGAGTTCTGTCCAAACAAACAGCAAAAGGTCACTGTATAGCCCACAACATACCGAACAACTCCCTTTCTTGCTAAATAAATGACTTAAAAAATTCAGAATTACCCTGGCATCTAACTCAAGGAACAGCTTCATTGTGCTTCCATTTCATCTATCTGAGGTAAAAAATGATAAAAGCATACAGAGTCAAATACCCCAGGTTGACCCAAATGTAATGGTCTCTCTCCGTGCAAGAACTAATAAGTCCAAGTTCCTTTACTCCAGGTGCACTGGCCTTTGGCTGAACTGAACGCACTGGCACTGAGGGCTTCATCCTGTTCAAATATAAGCACAATTCTTTTTCACAAAATACTTTCTCCCTGAGATAACTATTCCTCAGTGCTATACTGATCAAAATAGATGTGTGATTTGTGAAGAGCTGTCAAAATTAAAAATAAAATTAGCATACAAATTTTTGGTGTGAAAACTGCTGTCAGCATTTTCATACCTTCAAATACAAATGTGACTTTTTCACAGATATTACCAATAAATGCCAGTTTAAAAAAAAAAAAGCTCACTTACAAATGTATAGTTATCCCACAGAATATGACCTACAAGAGAAAATTCCACTAGAAGTCAACTAGGAATGATTCTTTTCATAAAAATTGTTCATTTTTCAGGTTTCAATAATGAGAAAACAAAAAGTGAAATAAAATCATACTTGGATTGAGAAACCACTTAAACTTCAGCTAAAGTATATAAATATATATTATAGTATAAAG